CAATTTAATTGCACGTCTCTTCATATGCTCTGTTTCTTTCATCTCTTTTTTTTTCTTCTTTCTTATTGTAATGGCACAAGCTGAGTATAATACCTCAGTCAGAGATGTCAATTTGTCATTTTTCAATATTGTTTTGTACCCTGGATATTTTCTAACCTTTTCCTTCACAGCATTCTGCACCAAAAATAACTCAAGTAATTAGTTTTTCTTCCTTAGTCTGGCTGAAGGAAAGAAAAATGATTGCATTGGTCTCTCTCCGCCAAGTCCCTCTGTTAATTTTGAATGACCTAGTTTCAGCCACTTTTGGCAGTGGGGTGGAAAGTCTCAGAGATGACTGACTTCTTCAAATGTCATGAACATAGATCTCTGGATGGGGAAGGACAAGATAGCCCCATCAGTTCCCTTTGGGGATGGAGAACCAGGAGGATTCAGGTGTCAGCCCTCTGCCCAGCACATGCTGGAAGGAAAAGCAGGAGGGGAAATTAAATCCCAAGTATTTTCTGGACCTGGAAAAAATGTAGGTTTACTGCAGTTGCAGGGAAGGGAGGAACAGGAGACAGCAATTCATGGGAAATCAAATTTTATTACTGCCTCTGCCCGTTAATAAATTACTTTCCTTTTTTTCTTGTCCTTTTCTTCAGTTGTCATGTACTTAACTGTCATGACTATGATTTTAGCACAGCTGAGAAAATTTACTTATCATTTGATTCTTGTACAAAGTCTAATATAAATCCCTCATTTTCCCCATTTCCCTTTTGATCTTTTCATCATCCTCTCAAAGCACTCAGACTGTTTTACAAAGCTCTGCAGAATTTCCTAGTGCTGCAAGGAGAAGTTGCCATCCTCATTTCAGGCCTGTGGCCCTGGAGGCTGACTGACCTCTCGTAGCCTCTCTGGGTCTCAAATATGCTTTTTCTTGACTGACTGCCAAATTCTTCTGGAACACGCAGCAACAGCTCGGAAAAAGGAAACTCCTTCAGCCTGTGCAAGTTTTTCTTTACCTTCTCCGTGTCCCCGTTCTGTTTGCCTCCGCAGTGTGTCTCTGAGCGGGGCTGAGGTTGTGCAAAGTTGGTGCATGAGGTGTGATCGCAGCAGGGAGTTGCATGGCAGGGTTAACTTCACGCTGCTTCCGGGTTCAGCGCTCCCCAGGCCCTGGTTAATCATGTTGGTGCCTTGCGGTTTGTTCTTTCCGGTGGATACAGCAACAAAGCAGGGTCCCATCAAAAAGAAGAAATACAGGTTCCCAGTACTATCTTACACAGAGTAGGAATTTCCATCTTGTACAAATCAGCTCCAAGGCTGAAAGAAGAGAGAGATACATATATATAAAGCTGGCAATGCATGTGTGTTATATCAGAGAGTATCTTTCACGAGTCTTAAAAGGATTGTCCACCTGTGCAAGTAAGTTCATGTGTTTTAAACTTTGTTTATGAAAACTGCATGTACTTCAATATTTTCATTGTATGGGGTGATTTCTGTTTCTTCAACCTTGCCTAAATATGCTTATGTTAAGAGAGGAGGAATGCTTTATTTTAATCCAGTTTAAGAGGTTTATATGTGTTACCTTTTTTTCACTGGTGGGTTTGGGTTTGCTTTGGGGTTTTTTTATTTTATTTGCTGTTGTTGAAATTTTATCACAAATGTGCTCTTATCCCTGTTCATTTGGGCTGCTTTAATGACCTTTTTTTTTCTCAGACCATCTCTTTCTGGCAGAAGTTAAATATCTCTTGCCTTTTTAATTTTCCAAAATTGATGTCAGTTCTCTGAGTTTCTGTAGGAATATAAGGTTACCAGCAGGATTTAAAGGTGCAGGGAATCGCCTGCAATCTTGTCTTCAGCAGTGAACTTTTAGATTTGCATTTCTGGGGTTTTTGAAAGTTGCTTTTTTGCATCTTTTGTCTACCCTGAACTGTCTCTTCTCTGCAGCCTGGTTTTACTTCCTTGATTGTTCCTTTTCTATATTCACTTTGCCTTTATTTCACTCTTGTTACTCTCTTCACCTCTCTTCATTATTGATCATTTTCTTTGGTTTGCTTGATGTCTGTGCAAGAGGATCTCTTTACCCTTCAAATGTTCGTATGGACAGTTTCAGGGAATGAGCAAAACAGCTAATGGGTGGCCTTGGCTTCAAGTTTGTGCAAGTATTTGTCTTGAATTGTATACTAAAATGAGCAACTCCCAAATAAATATACTTTTTTGGATGTGGTTATGTGATGTGGAAGACTGGGACTGTAGAGCATGTTACATAAAACCTGAATAATCATGCATGCATTTCTCATAAGTTAAAATATAGCTATGCTTGGCAAGCCTATATTTTGAGAAGGGTTTTTTTGGGGGGATTTGAAAAGGAGTCAATTTTACTATGACTGTAAGCACGTTTACTTTTGACACCACTGATCTCACTAGGACTCTCTGATGCAAAACTGGAAGGATACGAGGGTGAATCAGGCCATAGTTCCTCTGTGTACCTCCCAGTAATTGCCCCTGTGGACTTTTGCAGTACACATACAACTTAATGTAGGCAATTACCTCTTCCTCAGCAAACACTTTTCTTCCACCCTTTCTTTGCTGGTATTTTTCTGGGCAAATATGAGGCAGCAATGAACTCTACTTACCTTCCACTATTTTAACATATCTGAAATGGAGCAATAATCTGTTTTTTCATGACACTCCTCTCTTGTACTGTCTTTCCTGGGGCTATTAGCTATACCTAGATTGAGATCATGTCATACTCTGATAGGCCTCCCACAGAGAGTATCAGGGTAGTGAAGGAAATACGCTGATTTCCCAAGTCATGGTCTTTGACATGAGTCTGTTTCAACACTGTTTTTTTAGCAAGCTGTTTTCTCTAAAATCCATTATCAGCTGTGTATAAATAATAGTCGGAGCAAAATCAAGGGTCATAAATTCCTTGGTAGATGTTTTTATCTGCTGTCACATTTTGATACTATCAGCTCACCTGTTTTGATAGTCACTAATTAATCTTTGAAAGTGTTCAAATTGCAGAAAGAAAAACATCATTTTCATTCAGGATTATTTTTCTTCCAGTCTGACGGAAAGAACAATGAAGAAAATACAGAATGTTTTATGTAAAACCTTCGCTGAATAAGCCAGACGTTAAAAACAGAAGGGTCTTTGACCTCTCCTTTGAGTGTAGAAACTCTGGGAATCTATTCTCAACCATAAAATGCCAAGGAGTACATGAAGTCTGCCATAATGGCAGACCTCTAGCACACACAGAAACAGTATTTTTGCAGCATAATGAAAAGCTGTGAAGGCAGAGCATACATATAGTTGCAGGAGAGTGAGGACTTGAGGCAGGAAAGTAGTGTAGGGCATTACCTGATGCAGTTAGTTCTGGTAGCAGAATGCTGATCATAGAATAGAATGCTACGAGTAGAAAGGGACCTTAAAGATCATCTAGTCCCAATCCCCCCTGCCATGGGCAGGGACACCTCCCACTAGACCAGATTGTCCAAAGCCTTATCCAACTTGGCCTTGAACACTGCCAGGGCTGGGGCATCCACAACCTCCCTGGGCAACCTGTTCCAGTATCTCACCACCTTCACAGTAAGAATTTTTTTCTAATATCTAGCCTAAATTTCCCTGCTTTCAGTTTGTACCCATTGCTCCTTGTACTCCTAATGGTTAGCCCTGTACCCATTACTCTTTGATTTCAAAGACTTAAAAATACTTCTCAAGTTCTTTGTTTCTGCAAAGATGTGAATTTTCCTACAAACAAATTAATATTCATGCACGATTTGTTAATGTGCAAAGAAATGATGATGTTAAAGAAGACTCTAAATTATTATGGGGCCTTACAACTGGTGGTAAAGCTGCATGTATTTTTCCTAGATCAAGCACAGTGCTTAGTCATGAAATCTAAGTAGGTGTCTTCAAGGTTCCCAAAGCAGAGGGATCTAGCCTTTTGTTCCAGGCCTCTGGAGGCTTGCACTGGAAACTGAAAGATTATCAGACAGAGAAAAGTAAGACTCTACTGAGAGGATATGTCAAATAGGCACTAATAACAACAGATTGAGGATGAGATGGATGGGCAAGTTTCCACAGGTAGGCCTATCTGGGCTTGAATCAACAAAGTTCAGAAACAGGGAAAAACAGACCACAAAACTGGAATTACACCATGGGCCACAATACAAAACATGAAGAATAAGATGATTTTGGATAGGCTTAACACATCTTGATTTTGGAATAAAGTGCAGCCAGCCAAGTGAAAAAGCCGAAGTAGGAAGTTGTGTACAGTATTCTATTTTTATTTAGTTCTAATTACTTCTTATATTACTAGGTAAAGTTTCAGTAACCTGTGCTGAGTTCCTGTGCATGCTGAAAAGAAGAACTATACTGATCATGTGCCCCTTCACAGAAGTCAGAAATTAACAAGTCAATACTTTTGATAATGTAAAAAGGAGAAGGTCAAAAGGTCTTGTGAAGGCCCCTATGAAAAATGTCATTGTCCTCACAATCCAGCACTCTGCTGCTGGAAGGTGTAGCAGGCATGAGCTCCACCTCAGACTTAAGTGTATGAAACACCTCCAAAAAATTGTTACAGACACTCCTCCAGTCCCAGGAACCTAAGGGACCTCTGTATTTGTTTGCCCTCATGGGAGCTGGAGGAGGGCCCATCAATCAGACGTCAAGATCACGCATTAGGCTAATGTGGGTTAATTGATTCAATAAATCCAATCTTATGTACCAATCTTTCATCATCCCTGACCTGGCAAAAATCTGAGGTAGGCGGGGTGGTAGGGAAATACCTAAATGCTTAAATAAATACATAATAATTCCTATTTCCGATAGTTTTCTTTTGCTGCAATTTCTTTTGATGCAGTGAGGAAATCCTAAATCAGTAATTAACTGCTATGTACCTTCTCTACATAGTATCACTGAATTCGTTGCCCTAATAACATAATTCTGTGTTTGGACTAATGATGCTGTCTCATCTTTTTGTTTTTCACGTCTAGTTACTACTTGGCAGTAGTAGAAACTTTTAAATATCCTGCAATATGGTGGAAGCAGTACTGATAGATCTGTTTGACCTCCCAGCCAACTTGCAGAACATCATCCAAGGATTACTACACAACACTCTGGAAACTATTGAGAAATGCTCTTCCATCCATGCTCCATTTGTTTATGTCATGTGTTGCCAGAGGCAGGGGAGTGAAAGGAAAGATGAGCAAGGGTTCTTGCTTCCAGCTCTGAGAGATTTTCAGAATCTGAAGAGAAGACTGGAGGTGGTACATGCTGTGACTACAGCTGCTGCTTTGTACACCATCAAACAGAGACTGGATGAGAAAGACCTAAGCATCATTAAAGTTATTGTCCCTGCCTTAAGAAAAGACTTAATGAAAGTATATATAGACCATCTCTTTACAGCAGTCTACCAGTTTGAATTTGAGGATTTACCAGTGGTATCTGATTGTGAAAACCTACAGATACCTGAACTTCATGGTGAAGGGCAAACATTTTCTACACAGGACGTGGCACACATCCGAAGTGAAATTCAGATGTACCTAGAAAACCTGCCAAGCCTGAACGGGGAGCTCACCATCCTCAGATCTTCCCTGATCCCAGGTAAAGAGAATTCCAGCTAATAGTTTTTACAGAGACTGTTTCCAAGCATATTTCTTCAAGGGAGTTGCAAAATGGGTAAGATTTGGAAATGTCTTCAGGCAGCAAATAACTATATATGATGTTGTAATAGAGTATCATGTTTATAAGAGGGAGAAGTGACAATAGAAATATGGCAAAAGACTGGCAAGTCTGTTCCAGGTCTGGGGCATGATCAGAGGAAAGACAGGCCTGGGTTTAGTGAGAGCATAACTGCAGACAGCAAAATCTCCTCCCCTCTGTGTGGGAGTAGCGCATTTTGAGAGCTACCATAATCATCTGAAAAGGCAGGACAAAGATTTCTCCTGGGCTGCAGTCCCAGACATGCCTGATGTCTCAGTGCCCCTGCCATGGCATAATGATGAGCCAGAAGGAAATTGAGAATCCTGAAGTTTAAATGTCACAGCTAAATACAAGGTAAAGAAACAACTCAATTGGCTGATTCCAGGTCTCTGCAGTATAAAACCATGTAATAGCTGGCCTGGTCTTGTGTTGAAAGCAATTGTTTGTTGTCTTTTTTGCCTTGCCAGATAATATCTTCCTGCATGGGTTCACCACAAGGACAGGTGGAATCTCCTATATACCAACTCTGAGCTCTTGCAATCTCTTCAGCAGTTCCAAGCGGAGGGACCCACAAATTGTTGTTAAAGAAAATCTCCGCCGGCTAGCTAATGCTGCAGGATTTAACCCAGAGGCTTTTCACAGAGTCAAGGTATCTTATATAACACTGGATTTAGGCAGGTCTTCCTTCATATATCACTGGCTAAAACTGTAGGCATTCTTATCTCTGTCAACAAGAACTTGTGAGAGGCAGGACAATTAAAATATTTATGCTAGCAGCTTTTCTGTGTGAATAGCCATCCAAACAGCCATTTGGCACAGTATGGAAAAGCAGCACTGATTCTTCCAAGTCTGTTCTAGCGTTTAATTTACCACAGAGTAAAATAATCAGATGAAGGATCAGATCAGTTTCTTCTAAAAGAAAAATACACCATCACTTCTACAGTGGCTTTCTACTGATAAATCTGCATGGCATTTGAACGAGGGAGCACTTGATTTCCATGCATAATCAGATGGTGCAAAAGAGTGTTTCATGCCGAAGAAAAAACTTTGTTTTAGTCATAACTGGGTTGTTTTGCTGCCATATCACTGTCCATGTTCTGGTTTTGTTTTGACAGGTTGATCATGCTAATGCTGTGTGCATTATGGGAAAGACAGAGCCTGACAACTATGATGGAATAGTTACGAATCAGAGAGGTGTTACACTAGCAGCTCCAGGTGCTGATTGCATACCTGTGCTGTTTGCTGATCCTGTCAGAAAAGCCTGCGGTGCTGCTCATTCTGGTAGGAATTGCACTCCCTCTGCAATGGAAAGACTTCCTGGGACTCAAACCAAGATTTGAGAACTCAAACCTAGGCTTTCTTCTCTCTATTCCAAACAGTGCCCAAGTGCAACCTTGGCTTCTGTCTATTCCAAACAATGTCTCTAGCTTGAGCCTCCTTTTTTTTTCTTTTCCTGAAATAACATTAAACTATTTTCACCGTATTATAAAAATACATTTCTGACATATTTCTGTTGTCATGTTACCATTTAAATGCTTCAAGCACAGAGGAGCTCTAAGGTATGCTCTAATTGCCCAAACCAGGACACTGGGAAAAAAGAATTCTGGAATTCTGTTCTAAACTCTTCTCTCTAGTCTCCATCTCCACAGAATTATATCAGCAAACTGATAGCTGTTAATGTTTATGTTTTCAGTTGGTTGGTTAATGCTGCTTGGTTTTTTTAAGATAATTTATTATTATATATAATTATTTAGGTTTATTTTAGATATGTATTTTATATATACTTTTAGGTTTATTTTAGATATAGTTATTTAGGTGTAAATATATCTTCTAATTTATACCTTTAATAACATCATATATTTTTAGCTACTAGAAAATTAAAGAGACATTTTATACAAATTTTTTTCATTTCTCACAGGATGGAAAGGCACATTGTTAGGAGTGTCTATGGCCACAGTAAATGCTATGGTATCTGAATATGGCTGTAACGTGAAAGATATCCTTGTGGTGCTGGGCCCGTCTGTAGGACCTTGCTGCTATAAACTTCCTCACGAATCAGCAAAAGAATTTCACAGAATTGATCCGAAGTGTGTGAGACTATTTGACTCTGCAAGCCCTTATACTGATATTAGAAAAGCAACACGGTAAGCCTCCTGAGTGAACAAGAGACTAATTCCACATTAGCCAGCAATAATTATTTTGATACTGTATTATTCAGCACTGTTATGGTAAGAGTCCTCATCATCTTAAAGTACTCTCTAGTACTCTGCAGATCAACAAATTATACCTTTGCATGAATGGTATCTGCTCACTTTTCCTGGGTTTCAACTATTATTTTGTTGTTATGCTGTTAGTGTATGGATTATAGACAAAAGGTGAAATTAAATGTGGTTTTACTGGTTGCAGGAAAGCAATTATTTTAGTCTTATACTGGAAGAAAGATAAAAGAAAAGCCAATAAAAGTCCCAGTCACAATACTGACACAGTTTGTACAGTTGGTACGTGAGGTTCTGTCTAACAGAACCTTACAGAATGTGATGATGCACAAAAAAATTTATTTTCTGTTTCTCTTTTTTTTAAGAATTCTTCTTGAGAGAGGTGGGATTCTTCCTGAGAACATCCAAGATGATTCTATCACAGACCAGAACCAAAATGTCACTCTCTGTACTGCATGCCACCCTGATAAATTTTACTCTCACTTTCGTGATGGCACTAACTTTGGAACACAGATTGGCTTCATATCAATCAAAGACTGAGACAGTATCTCTTGCTCTAAAATAGGATTTAGACCATAAGTCTGCTGCATTGTCTGGCATCCTGCTCTCCTCATAGTTCTTCCTCCTTCCTTTCACAGACTTGCAATGGAGAATTAATGGGTCTTGAAATTCTCCTGCTTCTTCCCTTCTCTGCTGTTCTAAGGCAAGAATAAATATCTAGGTGTGGGGACAACAATTCTTATCTGAGACAGGGTGCAAAGGAAAAAAGGACAACCCATACCAGTGATACACACCTGCAAAAACATACGCAAGCTTCAAGTTTATGAAGCCTCCTTGACCAAGTATTTTCCAGAAATCTCACTATCTTAAGGTCGGGAAAGCACAAAGCCCCCCAGTCTTCATTAGCTTCTGGGTGAGACTGTTGAATGAAGTTAAGTATGACATTACTTTTATAGGAATGGAAGCCTGTATTGCACATTAACTGTTTGAGAGCTTCACTTTTGTAGTTTCAGCTGAAGCCTTGTGGAATTTTGTGCATGGGTTTGATTTTCTTCTTCAGATTAAAGATCTCCAAAACACTTACAGGAATTTTCCCATGAATATAACCTGAAAGTGAAAAACAAGCAAGCCCCTTTGGGGCAGACATTGAAAATATATGAACGGTCACCATTCTGTATATTTTGATTGTAGAAAAAGTAGGATTAAGACTCTTAATATATGATATGTATGTTCATGGTTCCTTGGGTTTTTTCCTTTAAATATTGGTGCTTTGATAATTTCTATCAATACGGTTTCAACAATGCCAAGTTATTTAATAAACGTCTAAAAATTTGAGTGAATTTAGCCTCAGTTATTTTTACTGACAAATGGTTGAACTTACGTATCTTACTAAGCAAATCCTAAGTGTGCTCTGATTTCCTTTGGCCATAAAAAAAAAAAGTCGCCTCTAGATTTGCAAATAGATATGATATTTTCTGACACATAGACAGTGAGAGATGCCTAATGGTAAAACTATGCTGACTGCAGCTTGCAGAGGTGCCAAGCACAAGCGTTGGCACAGCGCTGCGCGTGACGTACTTTGTGTTTTGAGCGGAGCGATCCGAGCTCATCGGATCCCAGGTCTGACTGTTCTATCCACTAGAGGTCAGTGCTCGCCCGCGCTGCACTTCCATCCCGGGCGGCACGGAGAGGTGCGGATTCAAACCATGGTTTGCCAAGCGCTGCGCAGCATACGCTGCTACTTTTGCCTCTATAATTGTCTGCCAAGCTTTTCTAGTATCTGTGCTTGAAGAGTAATCTATTCTTCTTTGTGTTATGTTGCACTTCTGAGTATGTTATCTTCTGACTGTAAACATCTACCAAAAATGCTTCTGCCAACTATCCTGCTTCTTCAGGAATATTATTCCTCTTCTGCTGTATAACTGCGGTCCTTGGTAATAAAAATGCTTACATTTTCACTTACCTTTTGAAAACCCCACTGTTAGTTTCAGCATTTTCGGTTTCTTTTGTAAGTTCACCATGGTGATATTCACAGTTGGCTTCAATCTGGAGGTTCAGGATCCAACAGGGGTAACACTCACACTCCTTATGCTGCCAAGCACATTACTGCAAGCCAGCTGATGGTGCATATGGTATGTACATGTATTGTGTGTATGTGTGTTATTGACTTGTTCCAAATATAGGATAGTATAAATATCCAAATATAGGATATATGGACACTGAAATCTGGCTGCTCTAGGTTAAAAAATACAAACCAACAGCCTACCTTCATCTTTTAGTTCTGTCCCTTTGCCCTGGTATCTAAGCAAGAACCCCTTTATGGATACTGATGGATGTAGCAGTGAGGTGAGTAAGCTGTCTTTCCTTTGGCTATGGGGGCAGCAGCACCACGTAGTCTTCAGTCCCTACACCTGAAGCTCAGCCAAAGCTTGTCTGTCAGTGCCCTTCATTTAACCCTCTTCCCTTGTGTATTAGCAGCATGCCATCAAAAACAGCTGAGTTACTTGATTTTCTGAGGTACTTGACAGCTGAGGAATCATAGGTGCCCATGTGCCTGCTGTTAGCCCATCTCACCTCCAAGATGGTTTTAAACTAATGCATTTATCTTTGCAGTAGTAGAAAGACCTTGCAGACATGCTACTTACCACAGTTCAAATGCTTAACAGTATATTAAGTCACAGTAATGTGATACTGATAGCAAACCCTTACTTCTTCATACCTGTGCAAGAACTACAGTAGAGACATTCTGTTTAGAAAAATACCATTTACAGGTCATAGTAGGATTGTGCAAGCTGGGGAGAATGTCAGAATGAGCAGAAACACCAAAAGCTTTACCTTCTAGAAGACAAATCATTGCCAGAATTGTTCTTTTTTTTTTTTTCTTTTACATGAATTACCTAGACTGTAAACCTGTCAAGACAGGAAACAGGCTTTTGAACATGGATGACTGAGGTGCAGAACTCCACAACCAATAAGAAAATATTATCATGTTCAGTCCCATATCAGGCTAGGGTCTGAATCATAGAGTTTTTTCCAAAGTCCTTGTTACAAAGGCATTTTAGTTCTGGTATTGAAAAAAAAAAATTAGAGGAAGGGCATGATGAAAAGACTAGGCTGTTTGACATCTATTTATTTACTTTTCATTCCTATTGCTCACTAAAGGAGGCAAGCACATCAGCCCTGATATACCACCCCTAGGGAAGCTCTTAAAATGCTTCATAAATTGTTCAGCTGTACCTAATTATCAGATCCCATGTATTAATCTTGCCATTGAATTTATAAGTTGCATTTGCCCTCTTATTGTTATTAAATAGCATTATTAATTATGATAGTGGTGTGCCCCGAGGCAAGCACAAGACATGATCACACTAAATATTGTTTCTGATAGTTATTTCTGTGCAATTAACATTTGTTACTATTGTAGATTCTGAATATGGGCCTCTTTATTCTATTCACATTATATACTTTATACACTTTAGTGTACTAAAATGTATCCAAGAAAGGCTTTATTCACTGTTTCAGTAGAACAGGGCAGGTCCTACACAGACTTATGGTTCCAGTGCCTGGGGAAGCAATGTGCAACTTCAGAGGCTTAGATCAAGGTCTTAGTGAAATGTTTATCCAAAATGTGGCATTTATTGCCACAGGTATAGCAAAGGTGAAAAATATTAAGGAATTTAGATTTAAAATGCTTTTAATAAATTTGCAGAGCTTAGGTCCATTGATGACTGCTAGTCTCTTTCTACTGACTACCCAAGGAGATCGGATGGGGGCAAGGCAGTTCTGCTCTTGCTGGCTGTGTTTGTGATTGGCAAACTCGGAAGCCACGGGCCTGCTGAAGCCCCAGGCTTCAGCAAAGCGTTTGAGCACATCTTGACTCACAGAAAGTATGTAATTCCTTCCAAATTACAAGCATTCAATTACAGAAAGGTGTCTCCTTTCCCCAGCAGTAACATATTTTGCAAAGTGGTCGTCTTTGCTTCCAGTCTTATTTTCCTCATGCTTATCTCTTATGCATTGCTGTCTTTCTGCCCAGCATCACTCACAATCACCTTACAAGGCTTGTGAATCTGGTCACGAGGTGTTGGGGACACAGGTGCCATTCTGTGCCAAGCAGCAGCAATGTTGCTTTCTTTTGTATGCATGTGTTGCCTTTTCTTTTAGCAGCAGTGTGAAATATCTTGTCCTCAACACAGGATCTTTATCAGTATCCTCCAACCTATTCCCATTTTACAGGTTTCTGTTGGAGCTCCCAGTTTCTAGCCTATATGGCAAAGAAGTCAATATTCCTAGATTCCCTCACTGCTGTCCTCATTTCCACTCCATGCTCAATTTGCTGCTGGGCGATGCAAAGAGGGAGATGAACTGCAGTCATTTGTCCCGAGGCTCAGAGGGGCTGTGTGTGTGCTCACCTTCATGTCATGTGTGTGAAGCTTTTGTTCTCTGAGTACCAAAGTCCTTCCTGAACTCCAGCCTCTTGTGCAACAATATTAACAGGACAGTGCACTGACAGGAGCAGTAAATCCTGTATGTGACAGAGGAAATAATATATTGACCTGCTGCGGGATTTGTATACCTTCAAAGACTGACAGCAAGCTCTGCCTCTAAGGCTGACTTGTTCTACTTTCCATTTCCAGCAGATACTATCCAGTGTTTACAGATGAATGATTCAGATAGATATGTATGTGGCTTTAAGAACTGTCCTAATGGAGTATATTCTTATATCCAGGATGTTGCTAATCGTTATGCAGTGTCACACCTTTGTATAAGACACAGAGATTTTACTGCTGTGCTTGCTTTAAATATACAGTGCCTGTGGCTGTGCTGCTAAAAACCATGATTATGTGTTTCCCAAAGGCATGCAGAGAAATAGGAAGCTAGCTTTTTTAAGCGATCCCTCTGATCTTTAATTAGTAAGTGTTTAATTTCCAGGAGCATCTCACATTACAAATACTTGGCTAGCTCTCTTTGTGAGCTCTCGGGGGTCAGAGGAGGCCCCCAGAGGAATTTCAGGAGCATGGTCTCTGAAGGACAGCAGGGCTGAGCTCTCGCTCTTCTCTCTCCGTGAATGCAGCATCATGTCTCCAGGGCAACCTCAATTCTAACAGTCATGGGAGCAAGGACGTAGCATGGCTTTCCATTTGATTTCTGCACCTGAAAATCTATATGTAACTAAACTATGAGAGTTTGTTTCACAATTTATCTTACCTAAGGATTTGCTTCCTCTCTTCTTGTGCAAAATGCAATTCACAAGTACTAACTAATGTATTTATTTTTCTGATGTTGCCTCTTCTGCACATTGCAAAGGCCTAAACATCTAAAATAAATAGGTTGCAACATGAAAACAAGGGATGTACCTACCATAAAACTGAACAAGTGTTTTATAAGAGAGCCTAAAAGCAATGTTTGTTTTTCAAGATTAATGATTTCATTTTTTATCTCTTGTGATGCAATATTTTTAGGCAGCCAATCAAATTCTGGCCAGATGTTTCAATTCAAAGTGATTTTACCAAAGACAACTGTAGAAAGTCCTGCCTGTC